AAATATATAAACATATACTAAATATCTAAATATATATTGTTATATATAACTAATAATCTAAATATATATTAATATAACTAAATATCTAAATATATACTCTAAATTATATATGTATATAACTAAATATCTAAATATATACTGTAATAACTATAATATCTAAATATATACTGTATATTAACTAAATATCTTAAATATATACTGTATATTACTGTATATATACTAAAATATCTAAAATATAAGTATATACTACTGTATTATAATATCTAAATATCTAAATATATATTGTATATAACTAAATATCAAATACATATTACATATAACTAAATATCTAAATATATATTAATATATATATCTAAATATATCTAAATATATATATAACTAATGTATATATATAAATATCTAAAATATCTAAATTATATATTGTATATAACTAAATATCTAAATATATATTGTATATATAAATATCTAAATATAATATTGTATATAACTAAAATTATATCTAATATAAATATATATTGTATATAACTAAATATCTAAAATAATATTGTATATAACTAAATATCTAAATATATATTGTATATAACTAAATATGCAACGAAAAACACAATACCGTGTTGATAACATGGAAGAAAAAACCCACAATGTACAAACTAGATTTATTGATGAAAGTGAGGACAACAGTTTTCGGAATCGTCCTCGATTCCCGAAGATGGAATCGAGGACGATTCCGAAACTGTTGTATCACTTTTCATCAATAATCTAGTTTGTACATTGTGGGTTTTTCTTCCATAACTAAATATCTAAATATATATTGTATAAATAAATAAATATCTAAATATATATCATATATAACTAAATATTCTAAATATATATCATATATAAATAAATATCTAAATATATATCATATATAAATAAATATCTAAATATATATCATATATATATAAATAACTAAATTATATATTATATATAAATAAATATTAAATATATATATATATTATATAATGAATATAATATAATATATAAAATATAATATCTAAATATATAATATATATAATATAAATAAATATCTAAATTATATTATATATAAATAATATCTAAATATATATTATATATAAATTAAATATCTAAATATATATTATATATTAAATAAATATCTAATATAATATTATATATAAATAAATATCTAAATATATATTATATAAATAACAATATATATTATATATAAATAAATATCTAAATATATATTATATAATAAATATATATCTAAATATATATTATATATTAAATAAAATATCTAAATATATATTATATATAAATAAATATTAAATATTATATATATATATATAATAATAATAAATATAATTATATATATAATAAACAAATATATATTATATATAAATAAAAAAATAAATATATTATATATAAATAAATAAATATATATTATATAAAAGAATAAATAAATAATTATTTATATAAATAAATAAATATATAATATATATATAAATAAATATATATAATATATAGTAAATAAATAAATAAATATATATATATTAAATAATAAATATAATATATAAATAAAATAATATATATTAGATATAAATAAATAAATATATTAATTATATATATATATAAATATATTAATTATATTATAATATATAATTATTATATATTTATATATATTATTATTTATTTAAATTATATTATATATAATTATTTAATATATATAATATAAATAATATATAATATTATTATTTATATATAATAATATAAATAAATAAATATTTATATCTAAAATTAATATAAAATAAATAATAATATTATCTATAAAATTAGAATTTTATAAATTAAAATAATATAATAAATAATTTATTATTAATAATATATTATTATATTAATATATAATTTAATTATTGTTATATATATTTAATATTAATAATTAAATTAAAATATAATATATATTATTTATATATTATAATTATTATGATATATTTTTATTTTATTAATATTATATAATATACTATAAATTAAAATTATGTTATAATATTTAAATATAATTAAATATATATTATTTATATTATTTATATTATATATAATTAAATATATATTTATATATTATATTTATTAATAATATTATTAAGTATGATTATAATTTGATCATTAAATAATTTTTTTATTATTATTATATATATAATATTAATATATAATATATTTATTTATTTATATATAATATTAAATATATATTATATAAGTAATTATTTTCATATTATATAATTAAATATCTTAAAATATATTATTTACATTACTAAATAAATCTATATATAATAATATATTATTATTGATAAATATAATATATAATTTAATTATAATCTTAAATTGTAATTTATATTATTATAATTATTGATAGAATATAAATATATAATTATATTTATTATTAATAATATTATATATATTTAGTATTTATATTTAATATTATTATTATATATTATATTATGTTATTTAT